AAAGACGTTTATGCACTAGCGTTCCAAAAGTGGAAGGTAGCGGTCAAGCGTGAGGGGGTCGAGCCACCTTAAAGCACTATGAAACGACTGCTTATGTCTCTGTACTGTATGGGGTCGGTAAATGTAAATGTAAATGTGATATAAACACTCTGGGAGCTAGCTTGGAGCACTCGAGCGGCAAGAGAAACGCTCCGGCGGCTACGCTTCGTCAAGGTTCCTAAGCTTGCTTCTATTGTGCTCTACAGCTACCAGCGTGTTTATCTCGCAGAACAGAAACAATACGATACAACACTATACCTGTTCTTAGTTCATCACTGTGAAAGGCATCCAGAAGTGGCGTAAATAGAATCCCAAATGAATTCTGTAGTCCAAAGACAATAAATTGAACGAGAAAAGAAGCTCCACACACAATCCAAGATCTTTTAGATATCTCCCCTACGCCATTCGCCTTTTCTACCATCTTTGTACCGGGGTGCAAGAATCAAATATAGGCAAGGACGGAGGCTAGGCTTTCGAAGATAATGCTAAGAAAATCCTGTTTTTTTGAACAGGGTTTGTGCCGAGTTACACTTTAAATTAAAGGACTATTCAAGGAATATGTTCAGCTAATAACTAATCCATGATTTTACACGTCTTACGTGGTAAAACGGTCACTGGTGATAGATTTATCAATAAACCATGTGATGAGATCTTTGTTTACCACGGGACCGGAGAAAAACGTTTGCGCATGCGTTCATTTCACCACGTTTTCTAAGAATTCCGGCTGCGTTACCAGCGCGTGGTTTAGACTCTTCCACAGTCTCTCGCTCGTCCGTTCCGTCTCCACGCTTAGAGACTGTAACGGTACAATGACCGAAAGGACTTATGGGTCCCGAAAACTTGGACCCAGCGTGCTTTGGGAACCAAAATACTCGTCCACAGTCTCTCTCGTTTCAATATTTTCAAGATGGTGGCCATTTTGTTGTGCTCACATCCTCTTTACTACCCTGCGAGCAGAGTCTCCTTTTAACTCCTATACGGGCGAGAGAAGGAAAGGAGACTCTGCAGAAATCGTGTATTTCTTTTGTAGTGCCGTTATCCAAGAATATGGATAATGAGATGCATAATTTCAGGTTTCATACTGGTTTAAACTGGTTTTGATGCGCGAGTCTGTATTAAATAATATGGCCGATGACCAAAATTGAGCCCGTTTCGTAATTTCGAAAGCGATCTATATCACGTTTTATCAAAACAAAAATCAATTTCAACCAATTACTCATCAAAGGAAATCGCTAGAAAGTTTTATGGATTCCAAAGACCCGTTTGTTTCGCTGCCGACAGGTCATGCAAAGTCACTTATTTTCCAGCTTGTAACTCCGATGATCAAACATCTTCAAGAAATCGATCCAAACACTAGTCGATACCCTAAAAATCCTCTTTTGGTGGCAATAACTCCGCTCCAGGCACTGATGAGCGACCAAATTTCCGCTTGTGAAAAAATAGTTCTTCAAACTGCTAAGCTTGATGAAATTGAAGCAGTGAAAGAAGARCACGAGATCATCTTTCACTGAGGTCATGMCTCTAAAAACATGTTTTAAGCGGTAATCGTGTTCGGACAGGAACCGGAAACCATTTATAAAACGAGTGAGCTTGTGAACGAGTTAGTTTCTTAGCAACCGCTGCGCATGCTCAAAAAAAATTGTACACGATTTCTGCAGAGTCTCCTTTCCTTCTCCGCCCGTAGAGGAGTTAAAAGGAGACTCTGCTCGCAGGGTACCTCTTTACCAGACCTTACTCATTTTCCTAGATTAGACAAATGAGTAGGGTCTGTGCCCGAGAATGCTATTCCCTCGTATTCATACGAATGCAAAATCGTAAATTCGGAGAAATACGAAAGAAGAAAATGTGACAACATCCCAAAGTGATTTTAACGGAGTATGAACAAGTGAATTGTGCCGAATTGAATTATTTCAAAGTCAACTAGCATTAGCGAAAATAAAAAGACAGCAAAGAAACATTGCACATTAAAATACACATCCACATTTGGGCGGAAACCACCCTTCATAGGTCCTTGTAGTGTACTGTGGTTAACACATCGGACTAGAATACCGAAGACGTGAGTTCCATTTCCGCTAAGGGCATTTGATGTTTTTCTCTTATTCTCTCTTAGAGCCCACGTTTTTGCTAGGTCCCATTTTTCTCGCGGGCACGTAGTCGAAACAGGAACCCCAAAACGCCGATTCTTTCTCAAACCCATCACAAGAACAGGAACCCCAAAACGCCTATTCTTTCTCAAACCCATCACAAGAACGCCTGTTCTGCAGTCTAATTTTGAGTTAGCTTCAGGTCCTCGAATTTCGGACCGGAAGTTTCAATTGCGCCTGCCTAAGGTAAGCCGATGTTTGGGTTACATTTGGTCTTCAGGGATTCAAATTGCTTCGAACAACGTTAATCCATTTTTGACCTTAGCTTTTTAGCTTAAATATAGTAGTTAAATCACTTATTATTTGCCTACGGTATACTTGAAGTTTATCCGCCGGATAGCGCTATCCACCCTTCGTACAACCGGGCCCTGGTCTATACATTGAAAACTTTGGCTCTAGTACTATTCATTTGCTATTAAAACAGCTACTCCAAATGCACAAAAGTATATTTTTATTACTTTGATCTTGCAATGACAATTAAACTGCCAAAAATGCACGTTTAACCTCTCCAAGGTAAACCCGGCCGTTAACGCACTGATTTGGCTTGTTTTCATTTATAAATAGCTTCATTGTTTTACTGATATATTTAATTAAATATGCATATGTATATTCCTAGTTTTCTTTCACTTATTTATTTCTTATTCTATCAATGAATGCCTTAGTGGAAGCTCTCAACCAAAACTTCGTTGTATAAGCTGCTGTGTTACAGTATCAGATTTAACAGGACCATTTCTCGAGTGTCAAGACCGGCAGAGCACCAGGAAGACGGCACCAAACGATTATCCGGCGGAACCGCAAAAAAACCGGTCTCCACTGAAAGAGATCCTAAACAAACGAATGCTGTGTGCCACGTTGCCCAGTTATAGGACCGTTTCTCAAGTGTCAAAACCGAGCGTCAGGAAAAATACCAAACGATTATCCGGCGGCTTCATTGTGGAACAAACCACAGATCTCGACTGAAGAAGATTGTAAACAAATGTAATGCGGCGTGCCACGTTGCTCAGTTATAGGACCGTTTCTCGACTGCCAATAACGCGATCCCAAGAAAAAGAACTTTCTGCTTGGGTTATCCTAGACAGTTCAGTATCTGCACGGCTACATTTTGGTTTTGTGTCAACGTAAATTTTTTCAATCTCCAGGGCTTTTTCCATTAGTTTGCTAAATATATCCCCAATGGAATCACTTTCTTTCTCACGATACAGTGAACAGGAAGTCTTGTAACTTGTTACAACCTCCGGAAACGCGTCCTTTCCTGTTTCGGTGTCATATTCAAGATCAGTATCAGTGGATCCAAACCTCGATCGTACGGACCTCAAGCTCGCTGTTTCTTCGCTACCCGTCGATCTTCCCGAGTCGGAATTGATGCTACCATTTGCTTTATGAGTGGCCAGAATCAAACACTCTTGGTCCCCACTTATGATATTTGGAGTGTACTTATCAGTACCGAAATGCTGGCTAATTTGTTTCGGTACTGATGACTTAACGACAGGGTACCCAACGAAAGCGATCTGATCATGGCATGCAAGTTGACAGTGAAGAGCTCCATCGGTGGCCTGTGCATCATCTAAAAGACGCGATATGACTAGACTTGATGGTCGACTGTATGGTTCTTCTAATACACGTCTACGCCAGGGCACTAGTTGTTGTTTGTCAAGGTGAGTGCTAGAGGCACCTATCCTCTCATTAAAGTCAACCATGATCTTGATATCATCGGAGGACGCCCTGGTCACTTCAACATCTTTTTCTGTTTTCTCGGCAGTGAGTCTCTTGCCAATCATTCGCTGGACCACGAACATCAATAATATACCAATGATTAATGTCGATCCCGAAAGAATGAAAGCGGGGCCATAGCTTCTAGATTTGTCGAATATCAAACCTAAAGAATTAGAAAAAGAGTCAAGTAAAGGTGCATTATTCACAGTGTTTTCCTCTGGATGACCACGGGGGGCTTGCGTATCTTGAGGATCAAAAAATGTCGGCAGCACCAAAGCTTCCTGCTAGAGCCACCCACGCTGGACAAGTCAGAGGGGGAGAGACCAGGCTAAAACAAGGGGTTTTCCGGCCAGTTCCGGTTTTTCCTCCCTTCTCTCGAATTCATCCCTAACTAATTTAAATTGGTAAGAACTATGCTCCGGGGTCATACATGGACTGGATAATGGCTGCCAGAGGCGCCTTCACATGCTTTCAGTTTGATCGACCCCGTGGAGTTACTTGTTGTTAGTTGTTACTAATTGTAATTGTGATAGCGATTAGCAATAAGTATTTCTTTTCAACATACAAAATTATCAATCTCACCCTCTCCTTCGACCTCGCGCACGCACAAACCACATAGACGTGAGCCAACTCTTGCTGGAAATATTTAAACCAGATGACTTAACAAATCAGTGTACAATTAGGAACATCTTCCTATTGGTAAACTGCAGCTCACCTGCTATTGGGGGCCCTAATATAAGGGGAATGGATATCAGACCATAAAGACATCCAAACGCTCGTGGCATCATTGCTTTACCGACAATCAGTTCTGTGCCCATGCCGATCATGACTGACCAACATCCATCAGCAAATCCGAACAGTACAACATATATGACAAGAATAAAATAGCCATATTTAGTAGCCAATGGACAGAGCATTGTTGCTATAGCTTGGATGAAAAGAATTCCTTGGAGTATCATGATTCGTTTTGATCGGGCAAAATCGCCAAGTTTGCCGAAGAGGACTTTGAAGACTGTCTGGTTAATGGCTAAGTAAACAATCAGGAGAGTACTATGTGCTCGAGGCACCCCGATGTCTTTAGCCATGCGAATCTATGAAGAGAAAACAACAAAATCGTACGGTGAGGTTAAATGGAATTGGACCTAAGAAGAAGACCCAAAACTACAACGGTGCAATTTAATTTTTCATGCCGACTCGGTTTTTCATGTAGGAACTTACGTTCAAAAATAGTTTAAAATTTGTCCGAATGACTTCATCCACCTCGTGCAACCCTAAAACGTCAAAAATAGCTTTTAAAGACATTCTGTGATGTTAACAAGATTTTGACATAAAAACCCGATATCGGGATAAATAGTCCTTTTCCTTATTCGGTAAATACCGCTGTGTTTTATTACTGAAGACTCATTTGCACAGGCTTAGCCTCGTCCAAGAGAAAATATTCATTTTCGAAAGTCAACTCATTTATGTAAGGAATGTGCAGCTTGAACATATACCGATGTCCTAAATTCCAACGGACTTTTAATGGCAACTGTTAATCTTGAGCTGACAATCTCGTACCCCGAGCCTGCGTTTCTTCTGGTCTGCGGCGAAGAACGAGGGCTCTGGCATAATCCATTTTTTGAGACCAGGATTTCTTGGACTTCCGGTATAACAGCGCACGCGTTTAAAGACTTGCCAAAAACTTTTTCCCAATTTTAAATTTTTGCTATGATTTTTTTTCTTTGATTTTCACTTTGAATTATTTTTTACTTTGATTATTTTGATCGGTTATATCTCACTTTCCGAAAATTGCGCATGCGCCAAAATATGGATTATGCCAGAGCCCTCGTCCTTCGCCGCAGACCAGAGGAAACGCAGGCTCTGGGTATGAGATTGCTCTGGCATAATCAATTATTTGGCGCATGCGCAATTTTCCAGAAGTGTAATATAATCAATGAAAATCATGCTTTAAAATAGTTTATGTTTACTTTCGATTAAAATAAAATTAAGAATATCGGGAACATTTAAAAAAATTTTGGCAAGTCTTTGAACCCATGCGCTCTTATACCGGAAGTCCAAGAAATCCTGGTCTCCTGAGTCAAAGAATTGATTATACCAGAGCCCTCGTTCTTGCCGCAGGCCAGAAGAAACGCAGGCTCTTGGTACGAGATTGATGAGATGACTCATAAACGGGGCCAAGCCTGTGTAATTGAGTCTGTGGTATACAAAAACAGCGGTATGTGTCGAATTCGAAACTGTTGTATTGCAGTTGTATTTTGAGTCGGCCCAGGCACCACGTCTTTCACTGAGCCAAATACTTACTATACTCTAACTATACTCACGGAAATACTCCATCGCCAAACCAAAAGATGACAATCGATTGACTGCTATTGTAGCTGCGATCAGGCTCGAGGCTGACATTCAGAGAAAGAGGCAAATAGGTGCCCGAGTTGTATAAGCTTACTTAGACAAGTGATTCCAGAGAGTTCCGGAGTCGCCTTGATCACGTTCGGTTCGGTTCTCTCCCTTTCTAAGCTCTTTTTACCCCCGGCCACTCTATCAGCCACTTTTGAGCTTTAAGTAAGAGTTAAATAGACGAAAACCATTTAATTTCAGCAGTTCTAAAATACAGCTATTTCAAAAAAAGTTGAATACTGAATACTGCATACTGAAAAGTGAAGAACGAACATTCCAAGAACGAAGTGGATTGTGAATCAAATTGACATTGTCTAAAGTAGGATTAATAATAAATATCTATTCTACTTTTAGTGCATTCCATCTGAAACAATATACTAACTACATGTAGAGAGTTAATTGCTGTATATTTACTTTTTATTTCAAATTAACGCGATGCCCTTTGGTCTTGGAATGCACTATTCAGTATGCAGCATTCAGTATTCAACCTTTTTTGAAATAGCTGTATATATTTTCACTTTACTTTAAATACAAATAACACTAGTTCCATGGTACATTTACGACATCTTACTTACCACAAAAACAAAGGGAATAAAGTACCCAAAAATGCAAAAACCTAACGCCACAACCCAGATTGCAAATGCGCAATCTTTAAAGGGTTCTGGGTCAAAGATGTCCAAGAGCTTTTTCAGCATCCCGTACAGCGGTCTAACGGGTTTCTTTACGTCATCCGTCAGCGGTGATTCTTTGCTGACTTCACAGGTGGAACCTTGGAAAAACTTGCTTCGCTGGTTTGACTTTTCTGTATTGTTGGTGTCAACGGGTAGGTACGTAAGTCCGCAGAGAAATAACACTGCAGAGACCGCTGCTATTATGCGGAATGTAGAACGCCAACCGTAGATTCCAATCAGGTATTCCATAATTATGATCATTGCTGGTGTCCCGACGCCGGACCCGGCAAGAGTGACACCATAAGCAAAGCACAGATGTTTCTTAAAAAAAGATGTCAGTCCAGCGATGGACGCAAAGTAAGCAAAACTCGAACCCAGTCCAAATAGGATGCCATAGGTAACGTACAACCATGGAAAAGACGTCACAAGTGATGTCATAATCAAGCCAAGGCATATGAGTGTTGCTCCAAGGCACGTGATCACGCGGCTACCCCATCGGGCACACATAGCTGTGGCAAGCGGTCCATTCATAAAGGTCAACCCAAAGGATACCGAACCGATCCATGCTGGGGACATAAAATGAAAAAAACTTTCAATTTGAGGTCAGTGACGGTGGTGGGAAAGCTTGTGGTTTGGGTTCATGATTCATGAGTAAAAGCTAACTTACAAAAAGATTTTGTTTGCACGAGAAAACGTAGGATATGTCATGTAGGCGCACTGAGTAATGATAATTAATTCTCAGGAGTAGATTGACGCTGTTACCAAGCCCCTTAGGATTATTGCGCCTTGTAATTACTTCTAACTAATTGTTTAATTAGCACTATTGAAGAAATAGAAAACGCGCGCGCGTGCTGTGTGCTGTCATAAAGCACGCGGGGGTTGGCAGAACACGAAAGAAGTGTTAGGAGAAGCACGACGCGTAGCGGAGTGCTTCTCGACACTTCTCGAGTGTTCTGCCAACCCCCAAGTGCTTTATGACTGCACACAGCACAACAAGCAAGTTTTTTATTTCTTTTATGAAATACAAATTACAATAATAGATAGGAATGACGCAACGGAAAGTGCTCGCGCGTGCAATGTGCTCTAATAAAGCACGCGCTCCAAACTAATCAGAACGCGACATTCATAACAGTTATTTTATGATTAGTAATTAGTGTTTCACGGATTAATTGTTTACACTCTAGTGCGTGCACTCACTAAAATTTTGTTAAATCAAGCTAAGACACTAAAAAAAATTTTGAATATGCGGGTTAAATTGCGGGAAGATTTTTGGACAAAATATCACACCACAGAGATCAGTTTGAAATGTAGCTACTGAAGTAAAAAAAAAAAAAAGGCTTTGCACGAAATGAATCTATGAAGAACTAGATTCTTAATCCCAGCCTAGATATGAAATTTGTTCCGCTCAATTAATGCAGGTTTCAAAACAAACTTGAAATCTGACATTTCGAATAATAAACTGAATCTTCCAAACTGGATGAAACGACTCCCTGACGGCCTACCGGCAAAAAATCTTTTGAAGGCTTATAACTTCCATGAAAGTAAAGTGTTTTTCTTTTAGATTTTTTAAAGGCATTTAGTACTTTGTACAAGTCTTTTGTGGATACTCTTAAAACAGAACGTAAACATTCAGATCAGATCAAATTTGCATGTAGGAAGTGACTTCTGAAAAAAATATTGATTTATTCATAGCGAGATTACAGCTGTAAAAAGGCATTCGAACAACAACAAAAAAATATATAATAAGATAAGTGGTCCCCCTCTGCCCACCATAATCTTAAATTTATCATAGTGGTTTTTAACTTCTTCTTGGGTAGTTTTTAGTGCTTTTTAGCCGCTTTTTTTTTGTCATTAGAAAGATTCGAGGCGGTCATGTGTAGTTTACATACTCACCAGTAGATGACTCTCCTTCTCGAAAGTCATTCAAAAACTCTATGAAAAACGATCCGAAAGAGTTTTGGATGCCAACGACGATGAACTGAATGAGAAAGGATGCAAAGCAAACGAGCCAAGACCAGTGAGAGTCAACGCCAACCGCTAGACGGATGCGGCGAAAACAAATCGACCTTTTTGTCATGTAGGAAAGATTGACCAAGTTGCTGTAGGTTACAAATAAAGAGAGATTTTGTAGACCTTTGAGTTAACTGGCCCCACTACGAACACCAAGGAAGAGCGGTTAGTAAGGATTCGAAAACCCAGATTATTTTTCTTTTATCATCGCTCTACAGTCTTCATACTATCAAGCGACGACTGACGAACATAAAATTTCGCATTCGAAGATTTTTATTTTGTTCCGCAAGAACTTGCTTTACTAGTATTAGGGCAAACTAGTCAAAACCTGTTTGAATCTTGTTAGATGAAAAATTGTTAGACCAGCTCCTTAAGTGCATGTCACGAATATTATTTTCGCTTTTCCTTCTTCAATTTTCCTTCGAATATAGCAAAATCGCTACTCATAAAAATTGTCAAAATTCTAATCTCTTATTTTTGCTTCAGGCAAACTTGTTTTCATGCAAAAGAATATCATGTTTTGGATATATTGTTTTTATAATGAGGTTTGGTTTGCATCGACATCAACAGAATATAAACACACGTAATTTGGAAATCAGCGATCGTGGACTCAAGGAATACTGGAGTCCAATAATATGATATAGTGTTCAAATATTTACACAGAAATTTATTCTAGATTTTCAGAAGTCATGCTATTTGTTGAACATGTCATTGAATATAAAATTCAAAGATAATTCTTTATTACTATTAGCATATACCAACTTGTGTAGAAGACTCCGTAAATATTCCCCGATATTCACAATAATTGCTAAAAAGCCCCTTCAGCTTGGGGTAATGTTTTCCCATCTCAATCAGACCGTGTCATTCCCTTGAGAATAAAATTCTTCGTTTGAGCTGTATCCATATTCATGTGTCTTCTCATGTGCTACCGAGCGCAAACCTTAAAGAAATAATACTCTAGCCGGAATGACATGTGGTCTGAAATGGGAAAACATTACGTCAGAGCCGAAGAGGTCTATTTTGGTATTTTTCGACATATTTATCGTTTGCAACCACGTTTGCTTGTGCCAGAAATTTCTACTGGGTTTTCGATTCTAATAAAAAACAATCCCTATGGCCATGCAGAGCCACCAGTAACACAACGAGCTATGGTCAAGTGAAGTTTCCGTATTTTTAGTGTAAATGCTTTTTTGGGGGGTGGGGGGGGGGTACAATTAGGGTTAGGGTTTGGATTGGGTTTCAGGTAATAGATCAAAAACGAGTGCGAGTGTTTGATCAGGGCATCCAAACACCGAGAAACAGATGAAAGCACGAGGCCGTAAACACGAAGCACGAGTTTTCAAACTTACTTCTCAGTCTCATCATAATCCATTCGTTCTTCAATCTACTGACACTAAAAAAGTGAACAGTGTTTTGATCAGTGTCTTGATCCATTTTTGATCAAGTATCAAGGTGCGTGCACGTGATTACAATGCAAAGTCGCCATTGGTCAATGACCTCATGAATTATTAATGAGTATGAGAAGACGTTATAATCAATGATTTTAATTATTAAAATGATCCAATAATGCCATCTCATGTAGCCTTACATAAAGTACTAAACGTGTTTCATCAAGCATTTTTCTTGAAAACAAATTCCAAGACCTATAGTTTTTTTTAGCATAGGGAATTTCAATTCACGTTTATAAATTTGAATGAGTCTTTATAGTTGGGAATCAATAGCCATGGAAAAGAAAAATACTATACTCAAGAAAATGATAATCTTCAAACAGGTGCTAAATCTGCTTCTAAGTGAACCACAAGCAACAGCTTACGAAAAGTTTTATTCCAAATCTTTTCGAAACTACTTTAGAAATCACGAAATGAAAGAAACTTATTGGAAAGTAAAAAAGAAGGCGCAAATAAATAACTTTTCAAAATGGCAAAATATTTTTCTAGAAAGTCCAAATTTGCCTGGTTACATATTGAGTCTGACATATTGCTATGAGAGCCAGTGCTAGCCCCTAGACATGACGATAGAAATATCATTCCTTATTATTAGTCTAAGTATAGGCTTGACGCGTTTTTTACTATTCGAAGAGACTTCACCATTTATTTAAATATTGATATTAATAATGTCTTGGAAACAGAATAATCAATTTATGAATGTTACTTTTTTCACTGTTTTTCCGATAGCTTTCAAAATTTCTTTGTCGTTAATTCAGTCTAATCAATAAACCTATCTGCAGATGCTTTCTTTTTATGTTAAATAATTCGAACCATTTCATAAACAGCAGTTGGCACAGAGTTTTAAACTTAACAAATGATGAAACAGAAACTGGTGTAAACACTTTCTAAAGTATTTGCACAATGGTGGAGTTTCATTACAATAGTGCAAATACTGTATGCATTCTGAATGAAAATACTCCAAGAACTGCTAGAAAAATAAAATATATGCATATATGAATAAATAGGTATTATTAGACATTTTAGGGTGGAATGCAGGTGTATATTTTTTCAAGTCGGCTATTTTGTAGAGCCTGAAAGAGCGAGATAAAATGCAAAGACAAACAAAATGTCCACTTTTATTCCACCCTAAAATGTCTAATAAGTTATTTATTACTTAACGGAGATGACTTTTCCCCCAAAAGGCTTCAAAAAAAAATTCTTTTAAAAAAACTAGTTTTCAAAACCAGTTTTTTATTGTACAAAATAACTTAAAGTACAAATATCGCAGGAGTACAAATATGAACTTTTATTTCTTTTAACCCTTACAAATATTTTTCATATTCTGGAGTATTAGAGACTTACTTTTATATACAATTTTGTTGTCATTTAGCATAAAGGGGATTGACAGCATGTTGTGGGGTTCCAACCACATAATCTGCCTTTGAATCTTGCTAGATAAAAAATCTTAGAGACAACATTTACATTTAGCAAACTGATAGTTTCAAAAAAGCAAAAATGAAAAATCTAGAAAGGTATGTTTGGATTGCATTCGCCCTATTTACTTTTATCTGGATAAAGTTTCTTGAGGTTGATGCTACCAACATCGTGTTTGTTCCTACCTAACAATATATCGCAAGTCATTCAGTCAGTAATGAATGTACAGTATTTACAGTCCTTGATGTATATGGTGAAATCCATACTAAAAATCAAAATATTCTGTCCAATTTAAAGGACTATTGTTTGGGACTCACTAGTCTTGTGTTCCAGTGGAAACAAAAGCATTTTCACATAGAGAGGAGGCTGGTCAGTCTAGAACAATTGTTACTTAAATTGGTCGCCATATTTCGATTGTGTGTATAACCCTCTTACTTTTAGCAGAACATGCTGTTAGTCGGATAGTAATGTAATTATTATAAAGTAAAATTGCACTGCTGCAACAGTCCCCTTCACAGTTCCCTGCGCCATCTTGAAAGGCAGCCATGCCTTTGCATCAAAGCAAGATGAACCGTGGGCTTGCAATGATAGAGACATGTAAATAATTGTCCATGGTGTTAAAAAAGGTCTTTATTATTGCAAGCTCACCGTTTGTCTTGCTTCTATGCAAAGGCACGTCTAAAGGGACTATTTTTGGATCTGTGCTATGAAAAGAAGTGTTGAAAGAGAACACCACTATAGCTATGAACAAATGACTGTATAAACTTTTCAACAAAACTAAACGTTCAGTGTTTTTGCCGTTTCACTTTCCTTCCTGGTGGTGTCCATTTCAGGCAGTCTGTATCTACTGTTAATACAGGTTTCCTATACTGAGAGCTTTTTATATGTTCTTCAACAAGTTTTGGGGTCACACATATGACATGCTGTCCTTTCCAATATTTTACCATGTTTAGTGATTGAAGGGTGCCGATAATGTCTTCTTGGGTGATGCTTGTCATAGCACTAGAAATAAAAAGATTAAAAATTGATAAAACTATTGGCAACAACAACAACATCAGCAGTATCACCACCAACAGCACAAGCAACAACAGCAACAACAGAAGCAACAAGAAGCCCAGATGAAACACTCTCACACCTACACACTACTCTTGAATGCTTAATCTTGACAAACAGGTTTTTCTTGACAATGTTATTGAAACACTTTGATTGACAGCCATCAAAAAATTATCTGGTTGTGACAGAAATGAATGCTTGAAAAGTGCTGTGATGAAAAAAGGAGTCATTGAAATAAAATGAAATAAACTTTCCCATATTTGAAATGCCTAATCTCAAACAATACACATTTATTGGAGGAAAAAAGACACACACACACCCACAAAGACACAAAAAAGTTGAAAACATAAAAATACCAAAAACAATACTTATTTATTATAACTGCGGGCATCTTACCTTAGATCCTTGATAGAAACTGTTCCTCTAAAATTCCTCAGAATATCCAATAAAACCCATGACCAATAGCTTCTGTAACTGAGCTTTCCTAAATCTGAAAGTGGCTTTTCCGGTGACCCAACTGTTTGCTCAATTTTTGACAACTCATAGCTAAATGCAATTAGGAACTTTCCATAACCTTTTCTTTGATATGGAGGTAGCGTAAGGATGCATGCTATGTTATTTCCATCTGGTGATTCTTTCTCCTGTGACAATGTACAATATCATTTACCATTACTTTCATTGCTATGCGCTGATCAAGAAAACAGTCACGACAGTGAAATAGGGCAATATACTGCTACCAATTGCCCTATTTCACTATGATGTCACATCAAAACAATCTATTCTTTAAATGCAAAGGATCATGGTTGATGGAGGTGGTCAAATCAACTCAAATTCACCGAAAATTGTTCTAAAACCCGTATCAATCCACGAAGAGAAGTAGAATAGCCAGCAAAGGTTCAGAATATTTTTTAGTACATATTAACACATATTATATCTGAAAACCAGGCCATTTTAGATTAAACTGTTTCGCTAGGAGCAAATTTTGTTGAATTTTCTATTGGATTTGGCGATCCTATCCCCCACATAAACAAGCAGTGTGAACAAGTCATAGTGAAATAGGGCAATTAGAGAATGTAAAGGTACCGACCATTATTTATTTAATTGACAGAAGTGTATTGCCCAATTTCCCTGTTGCGACTGTTTTCTAGATCAGCATGTAGCAATGAAATGAGTGGTAATTGGTATTTAAAGTCCTGAAGTATTCATGGTTCCAATTTTATGTTACGATTGCTATGTCACACAAACTCAACAATTAGCTAGAATATACCAGAATTTAAAATTCTGAAATCTGATTGTCTCATATTTCTCATAGTACTCTATAAAACAGATACAGATACTGCGTACAGTAGTTGTTTGTGGGACAAGATTTTAGTTCTACTGAGAAGACTGCTGCAATAGTAATTTGTTTGCTATTGTCTGAGTCTGAACCATGTATTATTTTCACTGTTTTACCGCATGCCATCCTGACTCTCTTATAAGATTAGTGAATCGAATCCTAACTTTTCACAGAGACAAAACATTTTGCTTCCGGAATACAAAAGTGGAAAAAACAATATGATCAATTTTTTTTAGAAATTCGGTTGTATTGTCAGAGGTTCACATATTATGTTTTTATACACTATAGTTATAACAAATAAGAATTTGATTTTAAATTTAAGGAGTTGCAGTTGCAAAAATATTTGTACCTCTACACAGGAAGATTTGAGCTCAAAAAGCAGAGATTTCTGTTCCACTTCAGTGAGTATTTTTTCATCAAAATATTGTTTCAGTAAATGTTTGATTTCATAACATCAATTTTCTTTCAGCAAATATTGCAAGGAAGTTCTTCAATGGGACCACTGTACAGTTTACATATCTTAATAGACCTCTTCACCTTGGGTAAAAATGTTTTTCCATTTCAAATCATGTCATTCCCTAGAGTATTGTTTCTTCGTATGTAATAACGGTTGTGTGTGAGAAGACACATGAATATAGATACAGCTCAAACAAAGAATCTTATTCTCAAGAGAGTGAGACATGCCCAAGGTAGAGAGGATTTATTTAACTTGTTTTTGCAACCACATAAACAAAAGTAGGGTCTCATAAATTACCTTTGAGAAATATCCAACCATGTGAGCTCCTTCTCTGTCAACTTCAGTTAAAATATAAAATATGAAGGGTTCCACATCAAAATACAGGGTCTTGTGGTCTAGAAACAGTTTTGCTAAAAGGCATATGTTTTGACAGTACAGCTGCAAATAGAAAATAGTAAAAAAATTACACTAAACTAAACCCAAAGTAAGACAAAGAAGAAGCCACTAATAGGCAAATGACGATAAAATATTCTAATAGTAAAAAATACAATCACAATACTGTTGTTATGTCAGACAAGCTATATATGTTTTTGATATACAGCATAGAACAGACACCAATTGAAAAGAATTGTAAATGTCTGTCTGGGAATCAATGCATTCTAAAGGTACTTTAAGAAAAATATTGATAACTACCAAAACATCTTATGAATTTGAGTTTGTTGGTCAGACATTTTGTATTCCATTGGGAAAACTCAAGCATAGCTGAGCATCACTCAAGCATAGCTGAGCATCACTCAAGCATAGCTGAGCATCACTCAAGCATAGCTGAGCATCACTCAAGCATANGCATAGCTGAGCATCACTCAAGCATAGCTGAGCATCACTCAAGCATAGCTGAGCATCACTCAAGCATAGCTGAGCATCACTCAAGCATAGCTGAGATCAGTCTACCAAAGTTGACAGCAGCTTGGGCTATCATTAAGTTTTAATATAATAGAAGAAGTTCATGATACATGTAGTTTAAGCCGGAGAAGTTTGCTCAGTTACCAAACCATTCTCCAATCTTTGTCCCTTAATGAAAACCCTTGGGAGTGTGTCAGCCACAGGCAGTACTGAAACTCTACTGTAAAGACCTCTGCTGTGGTTTTTAATATTCTGCAAAACTCGGTAGACTCAAGCTGAATGCTGAAATTTGATTTTTCACTGCCCTCAATCAAAAATAATCAGTATCTTTCATAATCTTGTCTGGCAGCAGTGAAAAACCAATTTCACAAAAAGCAATGAAAATGTTGGAGTTTGCAAATATCAAAAAGCACAGTAAGTACATAAGTTTTGTATACTACTGTATGTTGCTTACCTTATATTCTTTGCCATCCACTTCATACACAGATATTGTTCCCTTGCGATATATTTCTATACCAGGAGGCTGGTGCATGCCACATTTTGCCTTTAAAAAACAATAAAACGCCTTATTTATGACTATAAAAATAATAAATGATGCATTCTTATGTTACCAAGTCTCCAAAGTCATTTTCATCATCAGTTAGCTTCATAAGATTTTGATTGGTTAGCTTTGTAAAAGTGGTCCTGGTAAACAAAGTATTAAAAGACTTACAGCATGTTCTTTAAAAGTCTTTTCATATTTCATGTACTTGATACAGTATTCACAGATCCACAGTTTATTCACTTTGCCATATTCTTCAGGGTAAGGTGAGAAATACCAGGTATCAATCTCATATTTACCAAACTGTGCTTTGTCAATATACTTGATTTTTGTTATCTGAAACGAAAACAACAACATACTTTAGAATATTCTTAAATATTAACCCTTTATGCCCCAAGTGTGCCATATGGCTCACACATACTAGCATGGCCTGTTTTCAAACCATAAGGTAAAATCTAATTCTTAAATATTAACCCTTTATGCCCCAAGTGTGCCATATGGCTCACACATACTAGCATGGCCTGTTTTCAAACCATAAGGTAAAATCTAAGGCATACTAAATAACACTCTTTAAATGCTAAGACCCCTTGGGATTTTGGCAGGCTGTAAGCATGGTCTAGCTCATGTGCCGCAAAGGATTAAGGAGTTTTTTTGTGCTTGGATAGTTATTAAAGATGTGAATATTATGTTTCTTCAACCAAATTTTTCTTGGAAAAAAAAACTCTTGCTCGGAGCTTGGAATTTGTTTTCAGAGAAAAATTTGCTTGAAGAAACAAGTTCACATCTTTCTCAAATATTGTTGCATGATAGTACCCTACCTCGTTGAATTGGTAGTACATTACCAAAAGTAAAAGAAATGTAAAAAAGACAATGTCCTAATAATGCATTAAGACAAGGGTCTAGGAGACGACCCAAAAAAAGATCCATCTAGTAATGTAACGCCTAATTTACGACAAGGGAATCCCCTTATGCTAACATTACAGTTGGTACAATAATTGAACTGTGGACACTGAGTTTTATGTCATTTAAAAAAAGGCATACTGTAAATCATCCTTTGAGCCAATAGACCTTATTTGTGGTGTGACAATGTTTTCCCAATTCAGTGTGACAAACCTCTGGGGGAATGAACAGCTATTGTTTTGAAACTTGTCGGGATATCATCGTTATTCCTTTCGTATCCTTTGGGATACTCACAAATTTTTTGAAGAATAAAAATGAAGGAAAATGAATCCTCTTGAGGTTTGTCACGCTGAATTTGGAAAACATTGTCACGCCACAAATAAGGTCTATTGATTGGAAATAAGATTTCTTTTGATCACTTGGTGCATTTGAGCTCAGTGCTCTATTTTAAAGGGTTTGAAACTGCAGAAAGTTAGGGATATAAATAGGGGATTTATCTTTGTGCCATGACAAGCTCAGAATTAAGGGGAACTTCTCAGTGGATTAACTTCTAACTTACTGCTTCATGTTCTTTCTCCAGGGCTGCTGTGGTAGGATCCATTTCAGCATATGTCTATGGATAAATGAAATCCACACATTAATAATAGTTTTTTTTACTCATTTAGGTTTGATATCAGCGTGATAAAGCCATGAATATAATCCATTTATCATATAGATATTGATGAAATACTAGGTTTTCTCTAGTGTCGAAAACTTGATATCTTTCACCAGTGGAAGATACCATATCTTTCACACGTGAAGATATCGCTGTTCACATAGTAACATATTTTAATAAAGAATTTTTAAGCTTTTGTTTTATTTAAGTGTCATCAATATCTATATAATAAACAGAACATTACATAGCCGCTTGGAGATACGAATTTATCTTCTCATGTTCAATTTAGATATCTCACTCGTTCGCTTGGCTAACTCATGAGATATCAATTGAACACTCAAAGATAAAATTCGTATCTCCGCGCGCCCATGTAATATCCTCTATATCAGTGAAATGATATGATATCTCTTCACAGTAAAAACTGAAAGCTGTAAATTTTGTCATTTTATCGAACCTAAATGTGTAATAATCAAATTGCTACATGTTAAGAGCTTGATATCTTTTTTATTCACTCATCTTCCACATCATATATCTAACCTGAAAATATCAAGCTCTTATCTGTATGTAACATGTGATAATCTCTATGCAGTAACTACCTTTTGTACATGGTTGATCTCATCATGTTTACGCTTTTGATTTCTAGTGAGCTTTCTTTCTGGACCATCAACTTCAGACCTATCGTCAACAATTGCTTTGCAAGTTTCTTCGGTTTGTTGCAAGTCAACTCTTTCTGATGGAACCCATTCATCAAGACGTCTGTTGACTATACCACATGAAACAATTAGAAGTTAGCCTTGTTACAATGTGACTTGCCATACCATGGCTTACACACTCATTTTCAATTTTATTTGTTTGTTGCAAAGTGCATGAAATAATTTTAAATATTTGCAGTAACACTGAGTGAGTTCTTTCTTTTAAGATTGGAATAGGAGCCACGACTTTTAAGTTAGAAATGTGATTTTTCATATTTCAGCTACAAAACATGAAAACATGAAAAATTCCACCGTCTCAGATCACCCATTTCAGAACTCTGACCAACAATATTTTTTGAAATTAGTATATACAGAGGATATCACATGGGCGCGCGGAGATACGAATTTTATCTTCGAGTGTTCAATATTGATATCTCACAAGTAAGCGCAGCGAACGAGTGAGATATCTAAATTGAATACGAGAAGATAAAATTCGTATCTCCAAGCTGCCATATAATGTCCTGTTTATTATACAGATATCGATGAAACTTAAATAAACAAAAGCCCAAAAATTCTTTATTAAAATAGCAAGCCGATTCAACAGCGATATCTTCATGTGTGAAAGACATGGTATCTTCCACTGGTGAAAGATATCAAATTTTCGACACTACAGAAAACCTGGTATTTCATCGATATCTATATAATAATAATATATTCACAACCGCACAACCTAGTTTCTTTTAAGATTGGAATAGGAGCCACGACTTTTAAGTTAGAAATGTGATTTTTCATATTTCAGCTACAAAACATGAAAACATGAAAAATTCCACCGTCTCAGATCACCCATTTCAGAACTCAGACCAACAACATTTTCTGAAATTGGAATATACAGAGGGTTGATACTAGCTCTTTTAAACTTACAGCCATGGTAATGAATGTAGTATTCTGTTTTGCCATCGTCTTCTGGTCTGGACTGGATTATTTCAGCAGCATCTAAAACACGCACAATTTTTTAAAATATTATGAATAAGAATAGCTATGCTTAGAAGTAATTGACTTTCCATGTTGTTTTGGACTCCATTAGCTACGAATATAGCAGCTTTGTTGATTTTATACATATGTCATATGCGTTTTCACCTTAGAACTGAGGCGTTCAAAACGAAGTTATTGACATAAGGTACACGGTTATAAGGCCTACAGCTTCATAGATATCGATTGAATTCAAAAATATTACTTATTTTGGTGTATTTACTTTAGAAAACTGTTTGAATATACGAAAACAAGAGTAACAATGGCCGAGAGTCGAGCGAACGACACTCGTACTTACGCCATGACATATCAGGTCTTTGGACCAAACATTGCTGATTGCTCGAGTTGCTGACTTCTGATATACGACGAATCTTTGAACACTTCTCTTCTCGTTTGGATTTAGAGCTCTGTTCCTTCTTTTCATCGCCATTTTCAGTTTCTTTCTTTGCTTCTCCTCCGTTGGCTTCAAGCGTCACCATCTTGAACAACAAGAACGTGTGTGGTTTTACCCACAATTCCAAGCCTGACACAGGAAACCCAAAGTTATATTTTTATACCACAGGTAACCCAGATGAAGAACACTTTCTCCCGGTCGAAATAATAAGATTGCTTGCTAACAATTTTCCAAATGTCTTGAACAAAATGCCCTTGATAACTATGCTACAGATTATTATAGGCAAATCAATTATATTGCGAACGTATAGTGAAGCAGTCATAGAAATCCCCCCTCCTACAAGCAAAATATCCAAGTTACCTCCCCCCCCCGGTGACAGACGTATGTTATGCGGTTTGTACAAGCAAAATATCCAAATATGACGTTACATTAACTTGCGCACCAAACGAATATTAAAGTTGCGCAAAGGGGCAGTTTCACTTCAGCCAATTGCCATCACGTCTATCTTTAATGGCACTGCGCATTTCAAGTAATCCAATCTCCACAAGAGAACGGACCTGACAGTGCTGCTTGATGGAGCTGTAGACCAACCCGAACATTAGAGATACAGATAAATAAGTGTATAGGCTCTGCCGTGATCGAAGATGGTACAAGAGATCTTCTTTTTATTGGAGTTTCTTCTGATCATCGTAATGTACACTATGTGGGTATGTTGCTGTCCTTATGTCGTGTAGGACAGCCCGTGGAAGGCAGCCCTTCTTTGGAAAGGAGAAAACAATTGTATCCGCTGCAAGGTTATGAAGCCATTGGAAGTCTTGAAATTTGTAGACTGTGTCCTATTTTGCTGATATTCTGGCGAACGTTGACGCAATTTCAAATCCATGATTCGTCATCAGCTAATTAATGAAAAGATTTCGCAAGAGAACAAAAAACTAGAGAGTTGTTGAGGGAAATCATAGTTAATAGTTATATATCTCTATTAACTATAGGACAATATGAAACTTCTAGCACAACTTCTTCAAAGCGTGCATTGAATTAGTAAATATTAATTGAAGCAGAAAATTGTCAGAAGGCAAGCAGCGATATTCAGTGAAAAACAAATATTGATTGCGTTATGTATGAGTTAATTAAGCGGTTTAAGTCCAAGTCAGGCAGGTACCAGTATTCCTTGACACTTGTTAACGCATTCAGAAATGGTACAATCAATTCGATTGTAAATGAGATATGTATCGAAAGACAACCACAACATTTGCAATCAGATTATTTATTTGTTTCTATACTTTATGGATAATCTCCGAGAGACACGACCCTTCAATCTTTTACAATAAACAGCTTTAAGAAGATAAAGCGATCATTAAGATATGTAATCACAGGTAAAATCGTCAAGAAACATTTGCAGCATCCAGAAGATTAGTGGACAACAAAGAAAGACCTTCACAAACCTTTGTTTTAGTGAAACTGGAGCTTTTTAAAACTATTAATACGTGGTTTGCAACCAATCAAGAAAATGCAATAAAAACAGTTTTTACCGGCATATTAGTCAACAAAGAAATAACAAAAAAAATAAAGAGGATTTTTTTTTGCTAAATTCAACTAATAAGACGCGAATGACTGTTAGTCGATTGCATTTAGTGATGGCGCTTCAAACTTGTGAAAGATGGTTGGCACAATCACCAGCCTCCTTTCAGTAAAGCCAAAGAGGAGCGCAAAACGATTCCAGTAGTAGATTTAAAAGTTTCGGGTGACAGTTCTTCCCTAAAAGAAGGTTTAAGTAATTTTTAATTTTCCAGACATGCTATCATATAAGAAAATGCGCTAAGAAAATACGCATATTCTTATATGATTTCCGAGCCCATCCCACACGGCTTACTGCCTCACCTCTCTAGACATGCTATCACTTATTTTAAGGTATTCCTTCGCAGGGATTGAGAGGGGGGCACTACCTCCCATTGATTGGTTGTGAATCGATTAATTATTCTCTTGCTCTGGAAGCCAACGCCCTTTTCGTCTTAAACTTGTTTGATCGTTTTAAATAATATTATGCGTGTAAGATTTGCAAGAAGTTACTGGTCTTAGTGCTAGATATTTGTCCATCTATTCATGGAAGTAAGAGGGGGCATGAGTTTTCCTTTTATCTCTATATCTAGAGATCCTGTTACTTGATGCTTATCTAGGTTACTGTGAAGATTGGAGGTTATTTGTAGGATATTTAGAAGATTTCGTTAGCAGAGTAGCTAGTGCTGCGATTCGTACGACATATTCCACGAACCCTGGAAACAAAAAAGAATAAATGGTATTTATGAGAATTTTTCAAAACTTAGAACCAATATTTTTGTTGGCAATGAGGGATATTTCTGAGTCGTGCTTCTCCTAAGACTAATCTCATGTTCTGCCAACCACCGCGTGCTTTATAACTGCACACAGTACGCGCGAGCGTTTTCCCTTTCTTCAATATTTACCAAAGGAATAGAGAAAGAAAGAAAGTTTACTTACAGCATATGCATCATATCCACCCTTTTCCGTTGAAAGCTTCTTATCAATGTTTCCTGCCAGCATTTGGCTCTTAAAATTCAGTCCTTTGGTCTTTTCTATGATCTGTTGATAGACTGACGGTGCTTGTACTCCCATGACTACGTGGCCCTAGAAGTGAAAAAAGCACGATACAAAATATTTAGGATACTACAAACATTTTGAGAGATTTGTGAAGCCTTGTAAAACTATAAATGGCTGCGTAAAGGTGCAGTAATACAAGCAACCAAATCGTGAAACTTGTCGCATACATGTAAAATTGTTGCAGAGAGAATGTTGGTCAAATTACCACTCTATGCGTGTAAAGGTTCTAGATTATCTCGAGGACTATAGTCAAGATGCGTGACGTTCAAGTTCTAGATTATCAGTTTATTCAGAGTTCAGTCAGTCAATGATTTCACAATTCCACGTTACAGGTTTTCACGAGTTCAGGTTTTCACGAGTTCAGGTTTTCACGAGTTCAGGTTTTCACGATTCGACATATGTGCTGTCCTGAAGATAAAATCATTCGAATTCCGGATTCATTTTTTAAGAACAACAACTTGTCTACTCTTCCCTATATCAACCCTGTCCCATTCCCACGAGCTCCTTTTCTCTCTTCCACAGGGAACCCGCTTCTATCATGCATAAGCTATAACAATGCGCAACAAAATTTCATTGTTGCATATAGTAAAGTGATTTCAGGGGTTTCAATACCAGCTTGAGTAGGCAGCAAAACGTATTGAATAGACGGAGAGCAGCTAGCAAACTTTCTCACGTTTTCCGTAAATTTTTGGGAGCTTAGATCAAAATAGGTGGAAAGGTTGATGTAAAATATCCGACAAGAATCGCTGGCTGCTGGCTTTAACTGAAAACCCTGGAGTTTTCACTTTGCGCGACAATGAACATATTGCAGGCAACAGTACAATCCGTATCATTACTTATTTGATTTCTTACCAATTTTGAATCAATTTTGGCATCTAGTTTAGCATTTCGAATTAGATTTACAATCCATCTTTCAGCTTCTTCAGGTGACATGTTCAGTTTTTCAGCTAACATACTAAAAACGAGAGAGAAAATAGAAACAACCATTAAGTACAATCATGAATCTCTCAGCTCTTGGACAACACGTGTTTAAATAAACTATTGATTGATTGATTGATATTTAATGAAAGGAAACAATATTTCTTTTTTGTGGAAGTAAGTAGGCACCCTTCAATTCACCCTTTGATAGTAAGCTTCAATTGCTTACTATCAATCACTGATTTCTTATGTTATATTGCAGTCAAAAGAAAACTCAAAAATGTGCAAAAGTTGGGTTACAGCAGCCTGGGACTTAGAACCAGCAGTAAAACAGCTAAACACACTGTGATTGGCTAAAACAAAATTCGTCGCTCAGCTGGAATACCTGCTATTCAAAAACCATATTTGCAGCCTAGTATATAACTTCCCTTCAATCATATGTCACTGCTTTGGGCTGCTCAAAGCTTTATTAAAACTTGTGTTGGTACAATAACCATTACCTGATACTAATACACTGGTGGATTCGGCAGAAGGTTTCAAAGATAAAAAGTCTGGCATTTTCAATGAAGTCATCCAGACATGCCACAAGGAAGAAGTCATTGACTAGGACCTGGATGGCAGAACAAAAACACCACTATTAGTAAAATAATGGCAGATATTGTTTTCTAGTTTGGTATATTCCTAAGAATTGTGCATCCTAACAGTTAGGGACATGACCATCTTTAACACGCATGCTTAGCTGTTATCAATGATCATGCTGACATTGAGGTGGATGATGATGATGATGATAATGATGTTGATTGATGATAATGATGATGTTGATTGATGATAATGATGATGTTGATTGATGGTAATCATGATGTTGATTGATGATAATCATGATGTTGATTGATGATAATGATGATGTTGATTATGATAATGTGCATGTTTGTGGCAGCCTGCAATGATGTTGATGTTAATGATGATATTGATTGATGATGTGTATAATAGACCATCTCGGCTTGGGTGACATTTCATATCACGTGTCATTCCCTTGAGAATAAGACTCTTTGTTGGAGTTGTATTCATATTCATGTGCAACCGAGCGCAACTATTAAACAAAGAAAGGATACTCTAGGGATTGACACATGGTCTGAAATGGTGCAACATTACGCCTGAGTTGAGGAGGTCTATTGTGCCTGCAACAACATTGCTATCAGTGCTGCAACTGGTTTTGATATTGATATTGTAGTATTGCAATATTGCTGTTACATACCGTTTCACATTCTCTTAGCTTAGTCTGTGCCCCATCAAAGTCAAAGTTGACATAAAGACATTCCAGAAACTCAGTGATGGGATCCCTGTAGGTGTAGGATTCCTGTTGGATGACTTTAACAAGATCCTTGAGAACAGTTCTTCTTCTCTTGCTTGTGATAACAGCAGTGGTCAAGTATCTCAGAATGTGAGGACACATAGTCTGGATAGCATTTAGATAACTGAAACACAATGCAATATTTTTAAATATAGGAAAACAATAGCATAATCATCATTATTGTTCTTTTGTTTCCCCGGAGCCTTGAATAGGATCTCTTTGCACTCAACCAGAATATCAAAAGTTGGCTATTAGGGTTGCTGTATAGGCATACTTGGTTCCCTATTTCTATATTCCATTAGTTTCATGAACCATTATTGATGTTATAAATATCTGAAATATAAATTTCTAAATGAAAAAGAATTCTTTTTAAGAATCTACAGGTACAAAGGTACAAGTATTTCAGGAGATTTTAAGAGAAAAAAAAGACTTTTATGATATGAAAAAGGGAAAACTGTTGCTCTCGTGTCAAAATCTCACTAGATCTGGAATCATAGCAGTAACTTAACCACAGATATCGTAATATTTAATATTCAATACAGTACCAATTGTATTACAGCAAGGACACTTGGGAACTGTGAACACTTAAAGCTTTTTGTCACTTTTTAATAATACATACTGCTGTATAATTCCTCTCTTGAGCCAATCGATTGGAAATAAGATTCATTTTGATCACTCCAAGTATTATCTTGGTTGTGTTTACTTACGCTGGTTGGTAGAGAAACAAATCAATGATGAGATCACGTCCTTTAGGATGGTTGAAGTAGACAAAAAGACTCCAGTGTATAAGCCATGTTCTTTCTTGTAGTAACTGAAGAGTACCAGCAGAGGTCTGATAAAAAATATATGATAAATATATGATAAATGGACCAACAAGCATTATAAAATGATTGTAAAAAATCTTGTGTTCTGATTGGTTGGGAGCATGTGCATTATGAGAGCGCACAGCACGCACACTTTCAGTTGCATCATCCCTATCCAAAATAATGACTATTATACCAACATGACTATAGCTTATGCTATCTCTGCAAAATACCTGATACAAATAAAAAATACTGCATTTCATTGACTTACATTGCCTTCTATTACTTCTTTGAGTCTGTTTAAATCTTCCAAGGCTGTTTCCCAGTTCTGCATAAGGATTTCTGATGCCAGCTTCCCCCATAAAGCATTAAGAGAATTTCGGTCTCCACCAGGAGCCTATCAGAAAGAAGAAAAAAAACTTTTAATTAAATACCACTACAAACCTGTAGATGTACTATAATATAAATAATCTTAATATATTGATAAAATACTTTTGAACGATTTTGAACAAGTGTGTCTCTGTCCTAAGATACAAACATGATAGCCAGCCAATCAGTGTGCATGTCGTATCTCAAATACTTTATAAGCCAATCTATGTATATAATATAAACAAATTTTATTGAATGTTTGGTAACAATCAATGCAATTGAGAAGACTTACCAAGACTCTGTAGAAATAAAGATACTCAGCAGCGCCTGCATAATTGCCACATTCATATTGGAACTTGGCATACTTGTACAGGATATCCATCATCTCTGGTTTGATCTAAGAATATTAAAAAAAAAAACGAATTAGACTTATAGTTTTGAAATAATAGGAGAAGGTCATGGACAGGATATCCATCATCTCTGGTTTGATCTAAGAATATTAAAAAAAAAAACGAATTAGACTTATAGTTTTGAAATAATAGGAGAAGGTCATGGGCTGCTGGTGGACCATATTCTGCAAACTCAGTAGCTGAACGCTGAAATTTGGTTTTTCACTACCATCAATCAAAAATAATCAGTCAGTACTTTATGTTGTTGACTGGCAGCAGACTAAGTATCTGTGAGTAAGCTTGTACTCAAACAAAACCATTCTAAAAATACTTACATCGTGATTCTTTTCTAAATATTCAAATAACTGTCTTCCATCCCTAAACGAAAACAGTTGCTCACATCAGTATACTGTCTATATGCACAAACAATAATCAATTTGATAAGATCAATATTAATTTCACAGTATATTCAAAAGAATCTTCTCGTGTCAAGAATATTTTACTCATTTGTCGAACTCACTTGCAAAATTTACCTCAACACTTGAAGATAAAATGTGTACATGTATATCTCTGCGTGTACATGTATATCTCTGCATGGCCATGTAATATCCTTTATTTTTGCTTTGCTCACGTGCAAGATATCACCTCAATGCTCAAAGATAAAATATGTATCTCTGTGCATAATATGTAATGTAATATCCTTCATGTAACATACCTTGTTGACTGCATTTGTATGGTAAACTCGGGATCAGTAAAGCAGTTCATGATGGGTTCTGTTTGAGCCTGTAGTTCTTTAAGTTCAGATACAACTTCAACACGTTTTTCTTTAAGGCCTTAAAGGAAGGGAAAAAATGAAAATGATTTCCATAAATCAAAAGGACAGTTCTTCAGCTGGTTCTCTCTTGCAACATAATGGATCCTTCTCTAAACTATCTTGGATGCGAGACTAACACAAAAATACAATGGAAATCACACTTTTTCTCATCGGAATTTGTGGAATTTCTTTGGTATTTCAATGTTACAGTAGCCTCACTTTTATAATAATTTTTGAAGGGGGCATAACATGATGTCAATTTAACTGCTACTGATACAGCTGTATATCATTATAAAGGATTCAAGGGTGACATAATGGTAGTGTGCTCACATCTCACCAACCCTTCTGGGTTCACCTCTGGGGTCTCAGGTTTGATTCCCAGGCTTTGCATCACATGTGAGTAGAGTTTGTTAGGTCTTTTTTTATTCTAGGGTTTTTCTCCCTTTCCAAAACCTAACATGCTAAATTCCAATCGTATCTGTGAGTTAGCTGTGCCTTGACTTTGATCAGCACAGAGGCTTTTTCAGGATACCAATAAAATTTAAAGGTTACTGGTGTGCTTTAATGTAAATCCAAAAATATTCACAAGAAAGTTCTACCACTGTTTTCATTGCTATATGTATATGATGATCGTGAAAACAGTTGCAACAGGGAAATCAGGCAATCCTTCGATAGCACGTTATGTCATTCCCACCTCCTCGGGGAGCGTTGGTCCCATTTAACAAAAGATTTGCTAACAACACCACAATGGCCGCAATGTTTTTGTCTTTTAACTCTCTTTGGAATGCTTGCAACCCATCAATACAGTTCTGTCAACCAGAGTGTGTATTTGATTGATAGCAATCTATTGGCTAATTTTCCTGCTGTTAGTGTTGTCTCGATCAAGGTGTAGCAATGATAACAGTGGTAATTATCTTATTAAATTGATAGGAGAAATAAAAAATAAAAAAAGAGCTTACTTGTAGGGACTTCTTCGTCTGGGTAGAGGTTCCTGTGAACATCCATGGCAAAATCCACCTAAAGAGCATTAAAACCCGTCAGAATAAATAAGACTTACACACCAAACCTATTTTTGTAGGCCTGAAATCCCGACGTTTTACTTTATGTCGAATCTAAGAAATATTTTTATAAGAAATTCGGTTCATGAAGAGGCGGGGGAAGTATAAGGCTTACGTGTATTTATGAGAAAGGTTTACTACTGCTTTATAGGTGCTTCGACCGAGAAAAGTTTGAAGATCGTAGACTAGTTCGATCATAACTGTATCGGACTTACCATGTTTGTGTTACTCAAGAGTTCAAGTTTTCCTTTTAGCAATTCATGTTCATCGTAAATCTAAAGAAAAGAAAAGGATCCAACAATTTTTGATGAAAAATTCTATCTTCTTACAATAAAAACCGGCAAATGAACACGAAAAAATCACAAGAAAAAGAAACATACGAGAAGAATGAATACAGGAAAAAATATTTCTTAGTATACAATACTTACTTCTTTGACAGAGAGGAATTCTAGCAGCGGAAAGACCAGATGCCGGTCTAAAAAGCAGCCCATTCGAGAAGTCAAATCGTGTTCCGCCATCTTGAAATGAAGAAAACGTGCACGAGTCACTACTAGGCCCAGCCCTACCGCGAACACGTGATACCACAGGTAACCCGCACCAAACCGCAAAATAAATAGCCTTGGGAAGCCTTGGGTCATGTAACATCAAGGAGTTAAGAAATGTTAAGAAATGGGGAGCACTTGGTGTTGTGCACTGCTAATGTGTGCGACGTAATCGTGACTAGAGTTAATTGAGTTACTCGTTCAGAATTGTTACAACTAGAGTTGCTTGTTCAGAATCGGTTTTCTCTGTTTTTATCCCCTCTTCCTCTAACTTTAAAAGGTGCACTTGAAGATCACGAGGACTGAGAACTGTTACTATTTCGTTACTTTATTCTTGCTTTAACTTTTTATTCATGACTAGTAATTATAGCCCTCGCGTACAAGACGCAGCAAACAAAACAAAAAAAAAACAAAAAAATTCACTGCTCCAAGGAATTCTATTTGCTTAGTTTCCTCTCAGATGTTTTAGTACAAAATTAACCGGAGCGAAAAAACATGCAGCTTTATTTACCATAAAATATCTAAAACGCATACACTATTTTTAAAACTGCTGGCCATGCCATGCGCCTTGTGTTTGAAGGAAAGAACACTACATAAACAATGGACCTAACCCACATAGGCATAGCCCCTTGCCCCCTCCCCCCTTCCCCAATCCGAAGAATAGTACGACAGTACAACATCTAGAGGCTGACAACCAAATACAGCTCTATGTATATGCTCTATCACACCTATGGAATTGAATTACTAGCCTGAGTTGTGGTGCTTCGAAGAGAGGAGAGGAGAGGGTGGCTGGAGAGGAGGAAGTCCCCTGCCTAGTCCTTCTCTTCTCTCCCCTCTTCACCCTTCCTCCTCCCCAGTCCCCCCTCCTCTCTTCTCTTCATAGTTGCTATAGTTGTTAAAAGCATATATTATATACCCCATTATCTTAATTATTAACGCGCATTCAAATATATAGAGCAGGTGCATGTTACGCCATACCTGCCATGTTGGTTGACGATATAACAATGCATTCCTCATTAGCTTCTCTTGTTAGATCAACCAACATGGCGGTTGTTTCATTGTTATTCATATCCCATAGATTTTGAGTCACATGGCTGCACACACTGTATTAGTTCAAAAGTGTCATCCCATAATACTGCCTTTTTGCTCCTATATTTAGTACTTACAAAAAATAACTGTAACATGCATGTTTTAAAAGAAATATTTAGCACGGTTTTCTGCTCAAATAATATCGATAAGTCAATTTTAACTATGTTTTTGATGAAATTGTTTGAAAATATTTGGGTAATTATTTGAGCATATTTAAATACATATATTTTATTTTTTTCTCATAAAAGGGTTAAAACATGAAGTGGCTTGAGCTGAAATATTCGTTTTCTGAGTCAGTTTCCATGCCAGAGGGAAGTCCTGCTTTGACTCCTTGATTGGCCATCTAAAAGTATTGCTGCAAAATTCAATCTTGATACAAATGTGAAAAAATATGGTTAGTGAATAAAAACAAAATAATCGCTACTCGTCTTCTCTTCTCATCTCATTTCTTTTTTCTTTTTTTTATCCTATGCCTTGCCTTTCTCTTTTTGTTTTTTGCTTCCTGTTTTCTTTCTTAACTCTTCCATTCTTTTCCTTCACTGTTCTCCTTCTTTACTTACCAAGGCATTTCATGCAACATAAATTCTCATGCATCTGAGGATTTTTACAATTTAAAACCGGGCATTTTTGCTTTATACAAATTACTTGGCTTTCCTGAAACAAAATCACAAAACAATCGTTCATGAAACTTTTCTTATTTCGAATCCAAATCTCAGTAAATCTCTGTAAGGTTGTAGTTTTACATCCATGATTCTTAATCTTCCATTCCTTTGGGCCGGGATAAGTTACATATTCAACCCTAAAAATAAACATCTGGACTTATCTAAGTAAGGGCACAGCTAGTTCAAATATCGAACCAACGAAACGACCTCTGGGCTGATTCAAGTCAGGGTATAGCTGACTCACAGATCAAACACTGAAACAACCTCTGGGCTGATCTAAGCCAGGGCATAGCTCACACACAGATCAAACACTGAAACAACCTCTGGGCTAATCTGACATCGAACGGCCCTGAAACAACCTCAAAGTCAGGGTCAGGCTAGTGTGTTTCACATGTAGAGGAAACACTGCACCACCCTTGTTTCCCTTTGGTTTCATGTCACATGAAACGTTCGTTTCAAGGGGAGCGAGGATTCCCATTCGGCAGCAGTAGAATGAATCCTAACCTCACATGTACATGCTGTACATTTATCTTGTTTCCAAGTTTCTCCTGTCCCATATATTTGTCCATTTGCAGCTGTGCAGCGTTTTTCTTTTTGGGATTCGTGTTTCAATTCCTGAATCTAGAGTAAAAACCAATCAGCTGAGCAATACTGTTCGGACCGGCATCTGGTGCTCGTAGCTGTCGCGTACGTGTAACGTGGTTGGCGACAGTTTTCAAACCGCGATATGCGCGGAACAATTTTCTCTGTAGCTTGCCTCGTAATGGTGTTTTACTTTTGGCAACGATTGCGTCTCAGTTGCACCGAGTAAACCCTTTTGCAATTTGTGTTGCAACGCTGTTGCGAGACAAGTTGCAGAGAAAATTCCTCCATGTATTCGCGCCTTTAAGCCCCGTTTACACTAGCGTTTTTTGCCGCGATTTTTTGCGATTTTGTCCATAATAAATAATGGTAAAGAATTTACTTGTAAAGTTTTTTCTCAGGATACCAAGATTTCACTAGACGAATGTCTCTTTTGAAGGATGAGACAAAAGATTTCATATTTCCAAAAATTGCCACAAAAATCGCAGCAAAAATCGCTGCAAAAATTGCCAGTGTAATCGCGCCTTTAGGCTTCCGATTCATAACTAACCAAATTTGAAAGGATGATGAAAAACAGAACGTCAAAAAAAAGAGAAACTTATTATCATCGATTCAAACTACTTACTTCTCTCTTTAAGGAATTTACAGTGTCACGTAAAGATCGAACAGTTTCTGCCATTTCAACCATATTATTTGCTAAAGATTTTACTTGGTTTGATATAGTGCTAATCGTCTCGCTTTCCATTTCTTTATCCTCAGTCTTGCTTCCCTTTTCTGTCGTGTTTCGCTTTTCATTGTGTTTTTCAGAATCTTTTATTGAAGCAAATATTTCAGCGGCAACAACGTGGAGGTTGTCCTCTCGTTTTTCAGTGGGATTCTGCGAATCAGAAGAAGATTTAGGTGTGTGGGTCTTGAATGCAGTGGACTGCTTGGGTGGTTCTTCTTCCTCTTGTTGTTCTGGAGCGGATCGTTTGAAGCGCCCTCTCAGGTTCGTGGAAAATGAGAATGTATGGTCTGCGACTGAACATCGATCTGAAGTTAAATGGGAAAAGTCTTACTTGGGGACTGGTTATCATTTATTACCGGCGGTGGGGAGGGGGTTTATTTATTACAGGGGAGGGGGGGTGTCGTAGGACTTCAGGGGGGATTGTCATACATTGATAGTTATCAAGTGAGGAAATGACTTTGTAGCAACAATAAGTAAAGAGGATTGAAAAAAATATTTGGGGGGGGGGGGGGGGGGATCAGTTAATAGTCGAGCTTATGATGATGCAACAAATGTGATATTACAAAGGACCGACAAGCCCCTTAGTTTTGCCTCACGTAAGTTCAAAACCCTGGTAAAGCTTAGCAGGCGTAAGAAACACCAAGACAATCCTAAAACTTCACCTAACTCACCTAATTTCCTAACACTTACCATCACAGCATTCTTTCCAGAGTCTAAGGTCCAACCTTGGAATAGTACTACATGACACATATCCGGTAGGGTACGAGGCACGCTTGAACACATCGTTTTGTACTTGCTGGATATTGTCCCCATTGTCACATAGAACACGAGCTAATGTAGTTTGGCGAATCTGGGTCAGTTGTAATGGGGTGAAGGTGGTTGGGTTTTCGTACCAGAATCTAATGATAGAAGAAAATGAATTCGTTTCTGCTACCTCAACAACGAAGCACTCCACGTGGAACCAAAAGAGATGGACCATGGACTACGCTTTTTATAAACCATAACAATATAAAAGGAAAATAAAGGAAATGTATGAGAACTGAGGCGCTTACCATCTAAACCAATCCATCCGGTTGGAAGTTTGTTCGTTAATGGTAAGAAAAGAGCGGGAAACTTTGACTTCCGACAAATGGTACACGCGTCTACCGAAAGAACCGAAAAGAGCGGGAAAAGTGGATTACCTCAATCGGAAGTCCTAGTTTTTCGGATATTTCCAATAGAAATGACACATACCATTTGCTTTTTTAACCGGAGTTTCCGGTTTTACGGGTTCATGGTAAGCACCCCTGGAGTAAAATCCCAAGTACCATACACACCTATCTCCTGCTCGAAGGCGCTTAAATTGCTCTACGATAATGCAAGTGAACGTTTTTCCAATCCTGCTCCCAGGCTCGAATTCTTCCAACAATCCAGCTACCCATAAATCTATATTCGATGGATCTTTGTACAGTTTTTTCAACGTCTTTCTTATTTCAGGCTGTTTGATCTCGTTTTTCAAATCCTCAAATGTTTCTGCGATAGAGAGGTTACAAAAGCCTCGCCAAGAATTGTAACCAGGCAAGGCGTGATCGCGGCCGCGTTGGATATTCAAAGCACCCAAATCGAGAGCCACATTATGTGCCATTTCAAATAGTCGTTCAGTGAGTTCAGTGTTTAAGAGTTGGTGCTTGTCATCACGACTCTTAGCCGCTCGTCCAAACAATCCGCGCAAGACTGGGTCGATACCTCCTTCGTGGACGATTTTGTATGGCGAGAAGAAAGCTTTGTGCAGAGGAATGTTACCTTCCTTTATCGGCTGGAACGTACTGTTTAGACGGAATATTATTGGGTTGATCAAGCCATGACCAAAACGAAAGGCAGCCGTTGCAAAAGCATTGATGATCGAAGGATCGACTTTTGGGTCATATCCATTGTATTCTCCAAACAGTTTTATTCCTTTAGGACCGATAATCTTTGGCAGCCATTCAGTCACTGTTATGTGCTGCAGCTGCGCCCCTACTATTTTGCGAGTTTCCTGGTAAATTTTGTCTCCACTCCAATGCGGGTTGAGGTGCAAAAGCTCCTTGGCTATTCTATTGTGCTCGCGCATCCATAGAGTATGCATAGACAGCAGTCCAAGCTGTTCGTTGGCTCGGAAGTCTCCCGCTAGGAAACAAGGTACAGGACTGTCACGTGGTTGGAGACAGTCGATGGGTGTGTCACGATTGAATGGAAGAAGCGGCTTTCCGTTCTCATCGATAGCGGAGCTTGTCTTAAGCAGTCCTCTGCTGCGTAAATCTCTAAGGTTCTTAGATTCTTCCTCGGAGGAGCCATATATACTTGAGCCGTCGATAAAAGAGGTTATCTGATTCATCTGTTCGCGGTGGTTGACGGTACTGAAGAAAACCGAGGTGGTTCCAGTACCGCAAACGGGACTCGATCGTGTGAACTGCATACAACGGTGTTTCTTGATGCGCGGGTCTCCCTCGGGTATCTGAATAGGAAAGCACGGGTTGTTGTTCTCACACGTGGAAGTGCAGTCGGTCCCATCGCTGAACCGCGAAAAACTAAGACTTGTTACGGTGAAATCCATGTCGTGGTCGAGGAACTGGCCCCACTGCATTAGCATATGAGTATACTTATCATCATCGGTGACGTTAGGAGTTGATATAAGCCTCGTGGAAACAAGCCTCGCGCTTGGTCTTGATAAGGAGTTGCTCCATCCAATTGGTTCGTTGAAGCCATTTTCGTAGATAGGACTGAGAATACGCTTGAATGGAGTCAATGAGGCACCCCACATTGGATGCTGTAGGTTGTTACACGTCCCGTCAGATGATCGGTATTTAAGATGGAAACACAGATCAGAGCAGTTTTCTTTTCGTCGATGCACATGACAGCCTGATAGATTAGCGATCATACTAACGTACGAAGGTGAAAGAAGGTCAAAGAAACTCCTCTGTTTTCCTTCACTTACGTTCACCATTTCCAGACTAGCCACGTGTTCGTGTACCAGGTAGATTGTGCGCTCGAAGACTTCAGCTGCGCGGGCAATTTGCTGCGCTTCTGGAGAAGGGAATCTGAACAGTTTTAGTAAGTCACTGGGTGATCTTGGCTGAGAGCCGCGGAAGAGTTTAGCGATGGTGGCTTTAAGTGCTCGGTCGACGCTACTGATAGCTTTGTCGATAGATGCGTTTACGAACTTGTCTCCAGCAAATTCAAGATCTGAAACTGTAATAAAAGAATAAACAAGACTATTAAGACTGTCTTCGCTGAAACAGACCGCGAAGGATAACTTCTTAAACACTCAAATAACAAATCGCCAAGGAAGTATTACTTAGAATAATTCAGTAATGTCGCACTTGCTAAGTAGAGCTGTCGAGAGCTGTTCTATTGTTCTGTTCTATTGTTTCTTGTTCTATTGTTTTCATCCAATTGGGTTAGGTCTTCTTGGTCGCACCGTTAAAAAAATTCAATTTCAAGCTTTAGTGTCATAAACACGCTGGAAGCTGTAGAGCACAATAGAAGCAAGCTTAGGAACATGATCGCGTAGCCGCTGCGAGTGTTACTCCTGCTTCTCGAGTGCTCTACAGCTCCCAGAGTGTTTATGATCACAGTACAGAGACAAACGCAGCCATATGTTTTTGCTTTTATGAAATATTTTTGAACGATTTTGAGCGATCGTGTCTCTGTCCTCTGTCCGTGATATTAACACGGTAGCAAGCCAATTAGCGCGCGCGTTATATATCACAAATATTTTATAAAATGGTATAGAATGACATGGAAATTTGATAACCACCTTCTACAAACAGTATCATCTCAGCTGTTGCAACACCAATACTATTTCTTGCGGCACACTCGTACCTTCCCTCGTCTGATTTGCTAACATCTCTGATGGTCAAGACTCCTTCTTGATTAGTCGAATACCTGTTGCCTTCAGTGATGTGGACGTCGTCTTTGATCCATGAAATGACTGGGTGTGGTGCTCCTGTGGCGTTGCAGCTAATTTTCACTGTTTGGCCAGCGGACACTCGTTGATCTTTTGGTTTCTGGGTGATACTGGGTGGCACTAGAGTGACGAGAAAATAATCCAATGATCAGATGATGATGGATGAGGATGATGGTGATGGATAATGATGGGTGATGGGGATGATTGTGATGGTGTTCATGATGATGATGATGATGGCAATGATGGATATGGATGATGGTGCTGTTGATGATAATGATGATGATGGATGATGATGATGATGATGATGATGGTAATTATGGTGATAATAAATGATGATGATGATGGATGATGGTGATAATGAATGATGATGATGATGATGATAATGATGATGGATAAGCTTATCAACAATTTCTGAGTATAATGAACATAATCCCAGGACTTATAACCATTATCTTATGAAGTATAGATATTTACAGGAGATCGAGAATGACGCAAGTCATGATAAACAGTATTGAGGCCAAACTTAAACAATAAACTATTCAAGATAAATACCTCGAGGTACAACAGTCAAGTAAGTGCGGGCAATTATGACCCCCAAGATATTAATGGCTCGACATTCATACTGTCCTTCATCTATTGGCCGCGCGTGAACAACCCTCAGTGCTCCAGAAGGTAACACAATGTGTCGATCCTGCGATGGTAGCCTCCCGCCATCTTTAGACCATGCAATCGCAGGTACGGGGTAACCTTCAGCGCGACATTCCAGTGACGCGGTGCTTCCATCCAGCACGTGGGTATTGGTTGGCTTGGCAACAAATCTTGGGGCCCCTGAAATGAGGTTGGAAATGATCATTGAACAAGAGAAATCAAGAGAGTGGGAGTAGCGTAATGTGTGAGTAAAGCAATGCACCAGTTTGGCATTCGATTGTTCAAGCTTACTCTTAATTAAGCAAGGCTAAGCCTGTGCAGATGAGTCTTTAGTCATAAATCACAGCGGTATCTACCGATAATAATAGGGACTATTGATGGGTTGTAAGCATTCTCGGCCCAAGAGAGTCAGACGACAACATGGCCGCGATGACGTTAGGTTCAATCAAAGAATACCAGACAAGCTAGTCAGTCGGTCATTCTTTTGATTCATTCAATCGCTCAGTCGATTATCAGTCAGCCATGCAGCAAGCAGACCAGCCAGCCATGCAAGCTCGCTCGACTGATGCCCATTACTTACCACGGTCTTGGCTATTCATGGAGTCTTTACCTGTTACAATAACGGTAGTAGTTGCCACCACGCTGCCTGCTTTGTTACTAGCGTGACATCTATAGACACCCTGGTCCGAGCTACGAACTGACGATATGTGTAAATCCCCGCCTGCGGTAACTTTAACCCTAGGCCCAGTCGTCAACTGTACATCTTCCTTGGTCCAGAGGATGAGAGGACTGGGCCTGCCGCTTGCACTGCACTTGAGAGTCAAAGTATTCCCTTGAATCGACTCAACCCTGGGTAGCGGGTAGTCATTCAAGGCTGGCGCGGCTGTGAAAAAAGGAAAATAGTTTTGCATTATGTTTATATTTAGATCTTTTAACATAGAAGACGTATCATCTTAAGTCGGTTATTGTTTGCTATTTAAAACCTAGTATGGACTCTGCCTGTGATGCAAAGATCAAGATACCACAGCAGGAAGTCCAAACCCTTTTTTACAATTTTTCTTATTCAATGTGATGCTTTTGGATTGGCCTCTTAGCCCTTTCCCAAATCAAGGCATATCTTAATTATTTTCCTAGCATGAAGTTCATATGCAGTAAAAGGACTTTTAAAGCTTCTAATCAACTCCTAAAATCATGATTATTCGTTCGTCTCTTTTTATTAGCATTTGACCATATTTAAGAGTATCCTCGTATTCTCTTGGTATCCTTAAACATATTTAAGAGTATCGTTTTTTCAAATGACCATATTTAAGGGTATCGTTGAACACCTGTTTTAACATTTATATGACTCGTCCCCAACTAGTAATGTTCTAATGACTAGAGCCTAAATCCTTCCCTACCCTCCACCCCATGGTATCTCAATGACGCTTCTGCCAGTTCTTCGCCTGCTTCATTCTTGGCAAGACATTCGTAGTTTCCTTCATCGGCTACTGTTGGGCGTAAAATCTCGAGCGTGCCATCATTACGAACGATGTGACGGCTATCTTGGGGTAAAGGCTTTGAGTGCTTTCGCCACTGAATACTGGGTGTCGGCTCACCCACTGCTTTGCATTTGAATGCCACAACGGTGTCAGAGACAGTCACCTCGATGCTTGCTGGTATTCTAACGATGCGGGGTGGACCTGAAAGATATTAGGAATATGATAATGAGGTTAGCGGACATAAATGGATTAAATGTCAGGCAGTTGCTAATTGTTGACGATTTCTCAACCAAAACGAAGAGTATAGCCTACTTCCGAAACATGCTTCGCTTGTCACACACAAAGGTTTCAATGCGAGGCTTTCGTGCATAATGCTCAGTGATTCGTGAAAGGAGAAAAGAATAAATTGAATTTAGCACATAGCCTCGCACTGAAACCTTTGTGTGTGACAAGCAAAGGATATCTCGGAAATGGACTATTTTAACCGAATCAAAATTCTCTATATTTAAGAAAAACTTTGAGCGATTCTCCTCAGTTTAAAAAATATCAATTTGACGTGTTTGTCTTTCCTCGGCGCATAAATTGAACGACTCTCTTTGTGGTATGAAAAATTCGTGGTTATAGACTGCTTGGATAAAATGCCCAGCAATTTTTTAATTTTAGACGATTTCTCAACTAAATTCTAATCGAATTCTTATCGAACCAAAGGGATCTATATTTGTAGAGAAACTTGAAAACATATAGAACAATTCTATCATTTTCGAGAAAGAAAAACGAAGAAAAAAATTATGATCAAAAGCTTGAGTAGGTTTAAAGTTTAGGTCACCCATCCAAGTAGTAACCCTCCTCAGACGGGCTTGACTCAATGTCATGGAAGCCTAAGTTTTTTCCACTGGACCACGGTTCCAGGTGAATCAGCATAACAATAGCCGTGAAAACAATCCACCCAATAGACTAGACTTTTTRACATTACTTTTTCAACCGATTCCGTGCGTKGCAGAGATGCAAGGGATTAGCCGATATGGTCTGGGGGCCGGCTGGTCTCTCCCCTGATGCTTCGGCTAGAACATTTTCTTGCGTAATTCGTACACCCAAGGGCAGAAGGATTTAATCGCCGTCAGGTCCGAAGTCCATACGACGCCTCAGCTCTGCGGATGTCTCGGGGGTATGGCAAAGTGGAGTCGATTTTTTGATTTTTTTCTTCTTTTTTGTGCTTTTTTTTTTCTCCTTTTTCTCCTTCTTTTTTTTCTCCCATCTCTTTTTCCTCTTTTTTCTTTCTATTTCTTTTTTTAACGATAAGAATTTTTTTCTTTTTTTCCTATTCTTTTTCCCCCTCTTTTTTTTCTTTATTAATAAAATTGTCAGTATACAGTACAGTTTACTGACCAGAGCCATTATGTGGTCATTATTTTGAAATAACTTATAAAGTTCATCTATCTTATACGTACTAATGTACTATGTACTATATATACACGTAAAATAATGTTTTTTCGTGCACTATAGGTACATGTATCATAAGCAGCTTACTTATAAGCGGGTACTTACTACAGTTGAGGTCTCTGGGTGTGAGCCTGACCAGCGGTCTATTCTTAAGTTTAGCAGGCTCATGACAAGTGGCAGCGGTTTCTGTGTTAGGAGTTCGACGAAGAAGAGTGGCAAGCCAGACTAGATCGCAGTCACACACCAACTGGTTGGAATCGAGCCTCCTAAAAAACAAAACCAACATTGTATTAGTAAGATATAGACTTGAACCCGGTTGTAACGAAAGGGTCAGTGGAGAGCGCTATCCGTTGGATAAAACCTTATGTCATTGGATAAGTCGATGCTGTTATCCAAGACAGGGCAGAAAAATGGTTTTTGGCTTTTCGCCATAAGGATAGCTTTACGTATTTAAGCTCAATATTTTGTAAACACG